GCACAGTATCAGTTCTACTGTACGGCACTATGTATAAATAATATCATTCATTTGTTTGGTTCATCTGTATGTATCACTGAAAAGCAGAGAGAGATAGAGGGAGAGCTAGCGAGGACAGGGTCAGTCATTCAAATAGTCCCTGGCCTCTATTTAATCACACAAAGAGAACCTTGAGTTTACTGTTGTCCTTGATTCAAAGCAGTCATAACTAAATGCGGAACCTCTATTCACCGAAACAGCCATCATTCATTCAGACATCTCTTTCATTCAAAGTTTTCTTCATTGGGTTGAGGATTGAGTTTCACACAAGTCCTCTCAGAGTAAAATCCCTTCATTTGTTCGTTTTGCGATTTGCTGGCAAGATACCTCCACGCGAGCTGTCAAATAGAGCATGTTATATACTAGCCTTTAGCAGGGTAACAAAAGGGCAACATCTGATTAGCATTCACTGCACAATCTCTCTCTTCCCTTAGTATTTTATTACCACAGGTGCAGGGGCATTCATTGATCAGATGCACGCTATGGGCAAAGCTCGTCCTAATTGAAAACAGCACTATTTATACACCTGCAGGCACTAAACGTCTCTGCGAGCGAACATGAGGGGTTGCTGAAAGGACGGTGAAAAAGAAAGAAGGGGAGCGAGAAAGAGAATGAGAAGAGTTTTAGTGAAGAACAAATGCAAAAGAAGAGGAAAGTAAGCACTTCTTAACAGCAGCTCTTGTAAAGGCCGGATATGATGAAAACGTTTGATTAGTGGCCCGTTCAGAAAATCCATTATGCTCAGCTTAATTATGTTGTGTAAGACAAAATACTATCAGACACACAGTACTAATGGTCACAGCGTCAGAGAACTGTAGACGATAAGCTACATAACAGAACGTAAAAGAACGTGAGAGGGCATGTGTTATTGTGAAAAATTTCACAGTTGTGATTTCGGCATGTGCTTGAGTTCTATTGCCTTTATGCATCTTTTTTGCAAAGTGAAAAAAGTACACCAGAGAAGCCCAAAAGAAGTACAACAAAGAAGTGAGGAAGTGAAGGAGTGAAAAAGTGAAAAAGTGAAAGAAGAAAAAAGTGAATTCCATCAGCTGTTCAAAATTTCTGCATAAGGTTTGATATAAAATGCGGCATTCTAGCAAAACATACAGAGTCTGAATTTTTCACAGTGGTGGTGATAAAAACCATACATCAAAAGCATTTAATGCCTTTCATAATACATGTTTCCTGCAATTAATTGTTTTTCATTTCAAAATCACAATTTGAAAGAGTGCAATTTTTTAAATCTCAAGAGTTGCAATTTTAATAACATCCTATATAATTTAATGTTGCCTTACCAAGTTTTAAGCCAGGAACTTTGCTCAAACAACGCAGAGCTCATGGACTGGCAGAGATGTTACAAAGAAGGAGACAGTCACTGGTTGGAAAATGAATGGGAAAGGTCATAATGCTCAACATGTAATCGTTTATGGAGAAAGTCTCACCTTTCATTAAACTGAGCCAATTGGCTTGCTGTCGAAGCAGGAAGCAAGACACACCCCCTCAGTTGTGGAGATCTACTGAAGCATGGTATCCAGACAAACAAGAAAAAACACATTTTTTGTGTTTATTAAACTAATTATTATTGGATTTTTTTGTCCAGTTTTACCAGTGATTTTTAATATGTTTTGAAACAGTAATTTGGCCTTCAGGTCTCTTCCCTTTCAAAGAGAGAGGAGTCTGGTCTTCTATGACTGGAAATAACAGCCCAGCAGTGTTGTCAGGAGGGCCACTGAGTAGATAGACTTTCCTAGGACTCAAGCCCAAAAAAAGTGCTTCCCTCACAAAAAAAAATATTCACATTTAAATTAATCACCATATTGGTCAGAAAAATCACAATTAAATATTTTCCGCAAAGCGCTCAGCCCTTTCTCCTGATGCTTAATATGTTGTTTTATGTTAGTTTTGATACAAGGTTTTGGCCACAAGCATATTTCTTAAATATATCTGTGGCAGAGAGGCACATGGAGGGTGTTGTAAAGCAAAAGAGTACCCAAAAAGCAGTAAACCACTTTGAATAACTTTGTTTATATCTTAATGATTGAATTATGCAGAAATTGGCAAAACAGGAATTCCCTTTAATAAAACGTATTTTATATATTGGCCATTTTACAATTTTAAAATTGGAAGAACAGATTGGCAAACTGAATTTCTTTCCTAGCACTGCTGGACTATTAATACGTTTTTTTCATCCCACACATCTATGATCAGATGGGACAAGTGACTGCTGGACAACTGAAACAAGCTGATTCAGATTTTACCAACTGCCTTTGAAAATATATGGAATGTTATTACATCATAATAACTGCAAAACTACTCAAACAAGCATCTACACAATTATATAAGGCATCTAATACAACTTATGTATATAGCAAATACGCTACACAATCTCTTAGGCTGGCTTTACAGGGTGAAACATTAAACTAAATTGCACTTGAGCTGCACAAAGTAAAGCATCCTGCAACTCGTTCTGAACTCAGCTGCAACATGTGCAGGCAGCTCAAGTGTCATGAAACAGCCATTCAAAAGCCAGATTACACATCATGTGGTCATGTCGAACTTTTTTCATCGGATCCATAGAAAAGAAAAGAAAACAAAAGATTGTGTATTGGATGGTTCAAAAGGAGACCCCCTCGCCAATGCGCCACACTGACCAAAGAATGATTCACATATATTTCTATAGAATTAAACAGTGTTAATAATAATTCCTTAAACCAACATTAAATATTTGTTGGCCGACGATAAAAGCCCAAATAGATCTGATTTTGATTATTAGGTCTTAAAGAATGGTATATGAAGTTGATTGCTTACATCTGCAAATGTCAAGAAGGGCAAGTTCATGCTGGTGTCCACAGTGATAAAACAACAACAATATGAAACACCACACGTCTTTTATTGGCTCCTATTCACAGGTACAACACCATGTTTAAAGAAAAACACTCCAGACTGCTATTTAAGGAAGATGTGCTATTTACATGTAGATGTGTAGTTGCCAAAAAAAGAGTAAGTACCACACAAAAATCAAAAGCTAGGAAGCAACTGTTACTGCCAATTACATCCTAATATCTGTATCTCATCTAAACTGGTTGCATGTTTATTTAATGATAGAGGAAACACTGGGATAATAAGGGAATTCTCTAGTGCTTGCCCAGTGGTTTCTACTATAAGTGTGCTTTAAGTTAGTAGGTTTTCTGTTCTTACTGAATACAGGGAAATGTGTCAAATTAGTCATTCATTGTCGAAATTATCGACTGTACAATATAGATGTGACATAATTATTAGGTTTAGAAAATGCTGGGGAATTCCTTCAACTCTGATTTATTATTTTACTTTAGCTGAGAGCAAGAGCTTCTAGCCATGTTTTAGTAAGGTTGAATGCCAAAGGGACACGTCTACAGGTGGTTAGGCAGGGGAGCTGGCCGCAACCAGCCCAAAAAAACACAAATATAGTCCTCCAAAAATGTTTCCTGAAGGCTGACCGCACCAACTATGCAATCATCGTCCAAGTCCAAGTCCAAGTTTACAGCATCCCAAAACTCCCACAAACACACGGAAAACACAACCTTCACTCTCTTCCCAGTCCAGACGATACAGCCTCAGAATCTCACACGAGGGACTCATGTGGTGACAGTTTCTGGCCAAGGGCCTTCATGAAGACTTTGCCCCAAGACACAGCACAACTGAACTTGTGCAAACCCTCCTCTTTGGAGGAGTGAGAGAGATGTCTGTCATTTCATTCCAGTGAATCACATAATGGCCAGTCATGACCAAAAATCAACCGAAGGCCACTGCGGAGCCCAATGTTGCTGCTTATTTGATTTTCTGCATGCCTAAAAATAAAGCTGCCTAAGGGTTATTCGTAGCGATACCATAGAAGAACCACTTTTGGTTCTCTAAAGCAGTAGTTCTCAAACCGATCTTCAGGGACCCTCATGTGGTCGAGAATTTTGCTCAATCCCAACTCCCAGTGGGAAGGGAAAGAGAAAAATATAGACTGTCTGTGGGGGTCCTTAAGGACTGGTTTAAGAACCACTGTCCTAAAGAATCTTCCAATGGATGGTTCTTTCAAAGAATCATTTCTGTAAACGAGAAGTGTGAAGAACATTTTTAAAGATCCTCCACATAATGTACTATCAAAAGCAAACGTTCCTAAATCACTCTTGGCTTAGATCCCATGTGTCAAACACAAGGCCCCCGGGCAAAGACAGGCCCGTGGCACAATCCTATTCAGCCCGCAAAATTATTTTAATTTTCTATTATGGTAGCCTATTTCACCATGAGCTGCACTACAACGTTATGTGTGCTCCCACCCCCTCCCCAACAATGATCTATGCGACTGCACCACAGAAAAAAAAGAGAAAAAGATGCCAGGTGCCTTGTTCAAGCAAATGGGCAGTTTAAAAAAAAAAACTATTGTACATTGTGGACATTTAAATATGTTTAAGTTATCTGCAGCTAATGTAGTCTTGTTTTATATAAAACAATTTGTTTTTATTTAAAATAATTTTTGATTCATATTCAGTGCCATTTTTTGCCTTTGTAGTTTTGGCATATTTTGAACAAATGATGGCCAGTTGGGGTCATGGCAAAATGTTAAGTAAACATAAAATTAAAAAATCTCAAATCATATTAACAAAATGATTCTTTAAAAAAACATCCATTAAACCATTTTGGCACCTTGATCACCTTACATAAGAGAGTGGATAGAGCCAATTCTACACCATCACTTCCAGTTTTAAGATGCTCATTTTGGCTAAACCTGAAACTAAAATAGACTTAATATTCTTGCACAATGCTGTGTACATGACCTATTGTCCTTGCCATTCATCATAAATATGCAAATCAGAGTTCACATTGACCTTCAACTTGTAGACACTGGAAAACACACTGACAAACACGTAATCTCAAGGTCACGCAATGGTGTGAAGATCGTCCCTCTCTGCGGTCAATGCATGTGAACTTACTTCTGCTGGGTCCTGTTTGAGAGCGACGAGGCCTCCGCAGCTGCTTTCCTTGTCTCGAATTCCTCCCTCTTCAGGACCTCGCCGCTGCCCCAGCAGCCCAGCTCCACCAGCTGGCGGGCCATTTTCTTGTCCTGGAGGAGCAGTGAAACAGATCTAGTGAGCTTCGCAGAGGCCGGGAGGGGGTGGTTACAACTGAATGAACAATATGAGCAAGTCTGTCCAATTCAACTTGATTTCTGGGGCATCATCCTAAAATACAAAATGGTGTAGTAATGTTGTGGAATGTACACATAGAGAAAAATACCATTTTAAGCTTCATTCTGGTCATAGCTTTGTGCTAAATTGCTGTCCGTAAGAGAAGCGGGTTAACTCCTCCACACTCCACGTCCGGGTCCAGACTTCCATTCTTCATTCCTAAAGCTAACTTCAGAATAACTCAGTCAGTCTGCATTGTTTTCCATTTGGTTACTGAATAATAGACCTTACTGAGGAAGTGGGCATGCAAAGGACTTTAAGGGGTTAATCAGAGCACGGCTAAGGACACGGCTGTGGCTTTCCGGATCAAGGATTTCTGCCATATGTCACTGTAGCCCACTCAACATGGATCGTGCCATTTCCAGATGATTGAGAGAGATTCTTTGGGCCTTCAAACGAAGGGGCTGCTTTCATGTGGCCATGAGGCAATGAGTTGGTGAAACTCTGCTTGTTATGAAGTGCCGGTAAAGCTCTTGGTTTTAAATGCAAAGGTCCAATTTTGTGCAAAAGTGCCACATGAACTGTTCATTTGCTGTCATTCGAGACCTGAAATTAAACATTTTTGTTACTTTTAAGCAGATCAATTCTTTTCACTGTTACCTACATGGTCCTGTATGGCTTTGCTGCTGACCATCAAATAAAAATGTTCGACAATTCAAATTAGAGTTTCTTGCACTTTTCCACTTCTGTTGGATTTGAACTGGGCGGGACTATGTTGAAAGAAGCTGACAGGAGAAACGTTACCATGTGGTCTGAAACGCCTACACAGTCTTGATCAGGCAGTGCAGTTGAGTTTTTTTAGCATGAAGGATTTTTGGTTAACAGTCATCAATGCACATATCTACATATCTTTATCATTAAGATACTCTTAATACTGACAGACCCTTTAAATAGCAGTGAAATAGAGTTAAAAACCGGACCTGGTGATCTACAGCCCTGGAGAGTTTAGTTCCAACATGCCTTGCTCCAAAATTCTGCCTTGATTAAAGCCTCTGGAAACAAAATCCATTTTTTCTTTCTAAATAGGCTAATCTTGCTCTTGTGAACCCACAATATATAATTACAAAGTATGTCCTGTGAATAACTTTCCAATGCCCAATAAATGGCTATGCATTTTACCAAATTTCTTCTCTTTCGATGTGAACTGGGCAGTCCTAATCTTGCGCTTAGGTAAGCAGAATCCTCACCAATCTCAGGGCTGATGTGGTTCATCTTGCACACACAGCTTTAACAAATCTGTCCTCCCCTACAGTCTCTTCTCTCTGTTTGAGTCAGAGAAACTTACAGAGAGAAAGCTAACAACCAAGCGAAATCTAACCTACCAAGCATAACTTAGCTGTCACATAACTGAGATATCAAGCTAGCTCATCTGTCTGCATATGTAAAGCCTGTTTTACTCATGTTTTTCACATTTATGGTGTTCTGTTTAGTTCTGCTTCAGTGGCGCAGCAGGTTGTGAATGTTTGACTGAGGGCTGTCAATCACGCATGCATTTTAGAATATTAGGATCACACCCACACAGTTCTCAGGTCAGTCTGATAAGTGGTTTTTGAGTGTTTTATATATTTCTGTCCTATAGTCTTCATTCAAGCTTTGCTGTATGTTTAATTTAACACTCAATTTTGCTAGAATACAGATCTTTTTGATATTTTACACTGTGTTCCACCGGATAGGGGGTGTTCCAGGGCAGTAGATCACCAGAACTGACCTTGGGCACCCTTGATCTAAATGAACTAGGGATTCCAGTGAACACAACAGGCTGTATTTATTGGGAAAAAGACATCAAAGTTCTGCCATCCAGTCAAGGATGTGTGCTCACATGCTGGAGATAAGCACTTATTTCACTCCAAATGTGCCTCTTCTTTGGACCTACAAAGAACCTACAAAGCAGAATAGGTCTAATCTTTAAAGCTCTGCAACATGGCAGCTTAACAAAAAACTGATTAACTCCATAATATTACAACTGTACATTAGCCAAAAGTCTTTGCAGGGGTGATTGCAGTGGCAAAGTCACTACTGAGAATTCGCAACACCATACAGCTTAGGGTACACACATTCCTGGGACCCAAAATGAGCTCTCTCCAGTGAAAACTGATCCATAACATGTGTCTAAAACCGTCCCCTTGGGGTAATCATAGTTAACAAAACACATATTGAGTTCACTATTATGGGTAATTCCTCCACCTAAATGTTTGAATTATTTATAAACCTCATCTCCTGAGCACCACATTAGCAAATCCCAAGTAAGCAAGCAGTCAGACGGAAAAATGTTATTTGGAAATCCGTCTTGGGTCCACGGGGGGGCCAGGGAGAACATTTCCAGGATTCATACCAGGTAGAAATAGCCAGTGCGTAACTTCTGACCAGCTTTTTCTTGCCTTGTTAAAACTTGGTGCTTTTATTCTTGCTGACAATTTATTCTTTCTTTCCATCATGCAAAATACAAATAATGGCACCTGCAGTGACAACAACATGATGTGAAAGCTGAGCAAAGTAGCACAAAGTGCTCATCAAATCGATTATGGTGAAACACTAGCTTGTTACCTGGTACCACAAATGTAATTAGGCTCTATTTGGTGCTGTATGTGGTACAGCCTAGGTCTAGAGTGGGGCTGTTTCATTTAGGTAGGATAATGCTGGGTCAGCCCGGCCATATGAGCCTGGCTGCCCTTCCTTCCTCGTTTCTTCTACTTTTTATGGACAGCACTGTCCCGAAGATAGAACAGTTTTAAACGCATTCGTGCTGCCATCTAGCGTTGCAGCAGGGCAGTGAGTTGACCAATTCACAGTCATTAATTCCTCAGGAGAACAATTACTTACTCAGTTTGATATGTAGCTATGAGTCGGCACTAAATTATTTTAAAAAATGTGAAACAGAAAATTACTTTTAACCAGCTTGGCTTGAATTTACTGAAAGGGAACTTTCTGCAAGGTTAAATAGTTAACGCGTCAACAAAGACGTTCACAGTGGTTTGGTGTGAAATTCTTCACTCTAGAGAAACGTCACAGTTCACAATGGTGGTGAAAGGAACCAGACGTCCACCTAAAACCTCCCTCAAGGAAAGTTATTACGTAAAATGGTTATGAACACCCAGCTTATGTCTGAGACATTGTTTTACGGCAGTTGTGTGACTAAGTTTTGGTCTAAAAACCCATTTTAATCTATTCATGGTGGAGGGATACAGGAAGGATGGTCTAAGGCAAAATAGTCCCCAAAGACAAATCGTGTTTTTTTTTTCTTTTCCAGATTTTCCATTATTTTGTCATTATCAACATTACATATATAAACTCAGAAGGCATGTGTAGGTTCGTTGGTTTTTGCTATTAGATATGGGACCTCTCGTCTCCTAAAGAAAACGTGTGTTTGTAAGTTCATCTACAAAACAAAACAAACAAACAAAAAAACATTTCACACCAAATGACTCTTTGAATGACTTTGGTTGTATCTTAACCACTGAAATATGGAAAACAATGTTAAAATAACATCGCCAGCTGGCTAAACGTAGCATTCGTATGTGTGAAGGACGGCGTGAGAAAGGAGATAAACAAAAAAACAGTAAACTCCATATGGGGAACCAGAGTGAACACTTTCGTTACCTTCAGGTAGTACAGGTCTAATGGCCTTATCCGAGAATCTAAGTAGTCTTCATACGTGTTAAACTGAGTGACGATGTTTTCTGAACCGGCGGCAGCGCTGTGCTCCTCCATTGTGTTTCCACAGGCTGCGTGATCTCCATAGCAACGGTCATGTGGACATCGCGGAGCGCGTGCGCGCAAAAAGCAAAGCGTGCTGAGGCGCCGTTACGTAAGATTAGTCCTGTGGCTGTGTGTAGTGACTTACCTGCACCTGGCAGCACTGAAAGGCCTCACATTCTCGGCTTTCTCAGTTAAACAAACTGTCTATTAAAGTACCTTATCTGGACTATTTTAAAGGGGAGTTCCACCATTTTTATTAAAAATTTCCAAGCTCCAAGCAAAGTCATTTAGTGGTTTAAAGTGAAAATGTACGTTGTAGAGAAGCCACAGTTATCTATGGTGCATTTGCTGAAACTCATGCCTGATGTGCTCTTTAGGGCCTCAGGCTGACACAGGCTTTTGTTACACTCTGCTGCCCCCTAGTGGCAATTCTACCTTCATGAGCTTTTGAGTTTCCCCTCGAGGTAAAGATGGAAAAGAGGTAAATGTACTTTTCTTCTTCTTCTTTTTTTCTTTGGTTTTTTGGAACCGTTCATGCTTTAAGGCCCAATCCCATTCCTTGTTTTTACCCCTACCTTTTGTTTACGAAATGGGACAACCCTTAAATAAAAGAAGAAGTTTACTTCATTAACAGGCTGCTAGCGGTGCTCTGTAGGCGACCCTACCGGTCTGCAGTGACAGCAGAGGAGGGTGAAGTTCGGCAACCTCGCTGCTGATGTTTAATTAAATTTAGGGCGTCGTACGCCTTCAAAGAGGGGGATGCGACAGTTATTTATTATTGTCCACCCCTTTTTCTTTGGTGATATGAAGCTCAAGTCACTTCGAATTTCCCCGCTCCACCTTAAATAGAGCAGCAGTTACATTCTGGCTCAAGAAGTGCTGAACTATTTAAGGTGAAACGGGAAATTTAGCTAGCTAGCTACCAAGACATCAGCATGTTACTAGCATGCTTTTTATGCTTGTTGTGAAAAAAAGGACCATAATACATTGAAACGACATTAAACTAAGGTTATACAATGGTTATCATATTTTTAACTGAGAAAATACTTACATTTATTTTATTTATTTATTTATTTATTGGTCGCTTTGCAGCCATCTTGTCGGTTTTTCTTCCTTTTTAATAACACCCCGTTTTTAGTGTGCCGTCCATTTAGAGGGCCATGTAGCCCTAAAACTTCCCTACCCATCTATCTCAACAAAAATCGGGACACCTTACCCTAGACGTGAACGCACAAAACGAAGGGCTAAGGGCTAAGAGGTAGGGGCAAGAGGAGTTGGGCCTAAGTAAAGCAAACTTGATATTTAGCAATAAACAGATGGGTTAATGAACAATTTCTTGCTTACATGGTTTTATGCATGGTGAAATGGTTCAGACTGATGGAGAATATGTTGTATATTGTCCTATATAGAACCTTTTTGAAAATGCTTCTGTATAGCACCAAAAAGGGTTCTTCTACTGTTATAAGCTTGACATCCTAACAATAACACAACCCCTTTTGGTGCTACAGAGAGCCATTTTCAAAAATGTTCTATATAGAACATATACAGTACATTTTCCATCAATCAAAGTAAAGACAATGTTTCTATATAGAACTCGGGGTTTTCTAAACAAACCCTTGAAGAACTGTTTTTAAAGTGTGCAGGTAAAGTGGCCAGTCATTCACAGCTTATCTTTAAAAAGCAGAGCTCACTGAGCTTCCATCATTTTTTGCTTTTGCTTCTCAGTTAGAGCACAAAGTGTTACATAATCTCAGTGGTCTGTGACGACAGAATACTGTCTAGGTAATGTCAGAATCACCAGAGTCCTCTAAGAATAAAGGCAGGGAAGTTTATCACGCAAACTTAACCTCTTCTGGAACTGTATCTGCATTGTTATTAAGACACTGTGACACATTCATTCATGTATACATTAATTCATTAATGTCACAAAAAATATTTGTTCTTGGGATCTTTTGCATAATCAGTTTTAGAATCCTCCTTGAGTACTAGATAGATAGATAGATAGATAGATAGATAGAACTTTATTGATCCCAAAGGGAAACTATATATGCAGTACTATATAATATTTATTGTTTATCTGATGTTCTTAAGTACCAGAAGGAATTCTTATCTTATTGTGATATCATGGCTCTGAGAAATAAAATCTTTAACATGTATTGCAACCCCATTTCCAAAAAAGTTGGGATGCTATGCAGAAGTAAATAAAAATCAGATGCAATGATGTGCAAATCATGTAAACTAAATTTTTGAAGAAAAAAACTACAAAGACAACATATCAAATGTTGAAACAGAGAAATTGTATTGTTTTTTGAAAAATATATGCCCATTTTGAATTTGATGGTGACAGCACATTCCAAAAAAGTTGGGACGGGGGCATCTTTACTACTGTGTTTCATCACCTCTTCTTTTAACAACACTCTGTAAGCGTTTGGGAACTAAGGAGACCAACTGCTGTAGTTTTGAAAGTGAAATGTTTTCCCATTCTTATTTGATATAGGATTTCAGCTGCTCAACAGTCCTGTGTCTCATTTGTCATATTTTTCATTTAATAATGTGCCAAATGTTATCAGTGGGTGACAGGTCTGGACTGCAGGCAGGCCAGTTTAGCACCTGGACTCTTTTAATACGGAGCCATACTGTTGTAATACATGCAGAATGTGGTTTGACATTGTCTTGCTGAAATAAACAAGGCCTTCCCTGAAAAAGACGTTGTCTGGATGGCAGCATATGTTGCCAAAACATGTATATATCATTCAGCATTAATGGTGCCTTCACAGATGTGCACGTCATCCATGCCATGTACACTAATTCACCCCTATACCATCATGAATACTGGCTTTTGAACTGTGCACTGATAACAAGCTAAGTGGTCTTTAGCCTGGAGGACACATTGTCCATGATTTCCAAAAAGAATTTTAAATTTTGATTTGTCAGACCACAGGACACTTTTCCACTTCCTCTCAGTCCATTTTAATGAGCTCGGGCCCAGAGAAGGTGGCAGCATTTCTGGATCCTGTTTATGTACAGTTTCTTCTTTGCATTTTAAAGTTTTAGCTTGCGTTGGTGGATGCAGTGACGAAGTGTTTTCACAGACAGTGGATTTCCGAAGTGTCTGTTTTTAATGCAGTGCTGCCTGAGGGCCCAAAGATCATGGCCAGCAAATACTGGTGTTTGGCCTTGTCCCTTGCATAAAGAGATTTCTCCAGATTCTCTGAATCTTTTAATGTTATTATGTACTGTAGATGATGAAAAGCAAAAATTTTTGCTATTTTATGTTGAGAAACATTATTCTTGAATTGTTGCACTATTTGCTTGTGCAGTCTTTCACAGAGTGGTAAACCCCTCATCTTTACTTCTGAAAGACTCGGCCTCTCTGGGATGCTCTGTTTATACTCAGTTATGTAACTGACCTGTTGCCAATTAACCAGCAGGTGTTTTTTTTAGCATTACACAATTTTACCAGCCATTTTTTGCCCCTGTCCCAACTTTTTGGAACATGTTGTTGGCATCAAATTCAAAATGGGCATATATTTTTTCAAAAAACAACATCTGATATGTTGTCTTTGTACCATTTTTAACTAAATATAGTTTAAATGATGTGTACATCATTCTGTTTTTACTATTTTCCATTAAATATAGGGTTTAAATTATTTGCACATCATTGCATTTTGTTTTATTTACATTTTGCACAGTGTCCCAACTTTTTTGGAAATGGGGTTGTATTTTTTCCTCCAGGAAAAAATTATGTTCAGCCTTTCTCTACACACAGCACTTTCCTCAATGCAGGCTTTTCCCCCACATGCCTTAGAGTCTTTGGTCCTTGCTCGGACTACTGGGCAACTTAAACCTACAGGTTTTCAATGGGAAATAGGTCTGGGGATGGAAATGGCTATTGCAAAAACTTCAATCTGTGGTCAGTGAGCCATTTTTGTGTATCTGGGGGAATGTTTTGGGTCATTATCCTGCTTGACAGTTCAACAACAACCCAGTTTTAGTCTTAGAGTTAAGAGCAGCCAAATTTAAGTCGAAAATATGCTGGAACTTGACAGAGAGGATGATGTTTCCCATGACCTTCGGAAGAAAAGAAAGTCCTGCAACATCAAATGTTCACCATTATGCTTCACAGTTCAGACTAGGGTCTTTGCTGGACTACTTTCATTCTTTTTAGGCAACCCCTTGGCCTTGGTCTCTGATTCGAATCAGACTGTATGGTCAGATGAGATCAAAGTCCTCATTAAACCTTTCCAGTAATTTGGAAGTTGACATGGATGTGGCATCTTATTATTAGACACTTGATTACCTCAAGATATTATAATCAACAGATAGTTGCCAGCTATGTTCAGTAAAGGATCTTTTGTATCTTCAGCCATCCTCTTTACTCTGTGCTGAGGCTAAATGTCGACGCATACATTTACCAGAAAACCTCAAATCTCCTGCTGAATTAAATCCAACCCTTAATTCCACTGATACTGATAAAAACAGAAAGCAGTGATTAGTAAATTCTTTTTGACCTGTATTACATTGGGAAAAAATATGATACATGATGTTTATCATGATTCATACACACTTAAAAAAGATGGTTCTTCAAGGGTTCACTCAAAAAAATGACTCTTCGAATTTACTTAATTTTTTTTTGTCAAACTGTTGCACGAAATTAAATTATCTACATTCAGATATATAATTTGAGTAACATTTACTCATTACCTATAAGCAGTGTCAACTTAACTATATTTTGCAAGATTTACTTCAATAACTTCAGTGTTCTTCCTTGGTGTAATTTTAACCAAATTTAATCATGTTCATGCTATTTCATTAAATTATGTAGATGTTAAATAACTTTTTAGTAAAACTACTAAATTCTGATGTATTTCCAAATAATTACTCATTGTTTATTATGTACAACAGCTTAATTATATCACAGAGCATTTATTAATGTACAGTTTTAAATGTTAATTTTCACAAATTAAACTTCAACTACACTTATTAATGTTCCATCTATTTAAACACCTGGTCAAGACAATGACTA